GGCTCCGCCCCTCATCGGCCGGCGCCGCCACGGCCCCAGCCGCAGCACAGACACCGGCTGCCCCTTGAAACTGCCTGGCAATAGGGAAGAGCAAACACTAAGCGTGAAAGGGCTACAAAGGGACTCCCCCGGAGCACGCAGGCACAGCCTGCTTTCCTTCCGGCGAGTCGGGATGCTCAGAAGCGACAGGGCAGCTGCAAGATGTCCATGGGCGGACAAGCACGGCCACGCACGGCCCGCGCAGGCCCCCTTCCCTCCGCGCTACCCGCTGGCAAAGCTTTGCTCCTCCAGAGTCTGGGATCTGTACTTTTTTTTTTTTTCCCCGCCGAAGGAGCAGCAGGGCTTCAGCTGCCACAGGCCGAGCTCATTGCTATGCACGGCACCCGGGGGGGGAGGGGGGGTGACCCAGCCAAGACGAAGCGCAAAGACCGCAGCTTCAAGGTCTCTCGTCACACCTGCTGTTAGGATGTATTTGTTCAGGTAATTTGAACATTTGGCCAGGAAGCAGGTATTTCCTCTGTAAAGCGCGCTGAAGCATCCAAAAAGGCTTTCGGAAGCGCGCAAGAGGGCTATAAACCTGCACGAGCCTCAACGCGTGCAACAGCCACCCCAAAGCAGCCACTGCTTCCCACCTCCCCTGCCCCAATGCATTTGCTGTTGACTCCCTCTGGCACCAAGGACCAGTAAGTAGAAGGCAACACCAAATCTCAGGTGATTTTGTTTTGCTGCCCAATCAATGAACGGGGACTCAGCTGGGGACGACAGCAACTACCGTCGCAGAAGAGCGACCCGACCTCTCGCCACCTGCTAGTGCAGAAAGAACCCAGGAGACGGAGCACGTGCCACCTCCTTGTGCGATGCCATCGCCTCCAAGTCACCAAGGATGCTACCACTCCAAAAGGATACTACTCTGCTTTAATGTTTTAGAGACAATGGACTTTTACGTGGTACAACAGCAGGCTGTACGTACTATACATATATACACACTGGTTGTAGTTAAAGCTTGTGTATTTGAACAATACCAATGTTCCAAAAAAAATGCACCAAGTCTTACAACAACAAAAATGTGGACAAAATCCAAGGCCACAAGTATAGAGAGGTATGTTTTAAGGACTACAGGTCACATAGAAACAAAACACAGTGGTGGTGCAATGCAAACTTTATCCTGAATAGAGATAAGTGGTTAAAATGCAACTTTTCTTTGCCTCAGGAGCAAGACAGTGTTTTACAGAGACTTAACTTCCAAACTAAAGCAAGCAAAGAGAAACAAATGTACTAGTGTGTGCCCCTTTGGTCCTCAAATTCTCCTTCCAGTTGTTGAGCTAAAAAGAGAAAGAGTTTTACTCTGAACTTCAGGCAAGAAAGATTTAAGGCTTTTCAGCTGGATACATACACTGAAGTGTGGCAGTATCTGCTCTCAGTCATTTAAGGAAAACAGTTGCCATAGAGTTAGTGTATTTTATAAATGTGCAGCACATACCTTGTTCACGCTAGCAGACAAAAACTTCGATAGCACCTAACTCTACAGAATCCAGGACAGAGGATATAATAATAGATTTTTCCAATAACACTGCGAGCGTCATCGAGATAAAATTAGTGTAATTAAACGCATGAGGTTGCTGTTCTTCAAAGTTCTTTAGGCTCAGTGGAAATTTGACCGGACATGATTTTCATTCCGTTTCCAACGCGGGTTGAAGCAAGAGACAGGAATGTTGGTAAGATCGAGCCTGCCAGAGCGGGAACTGCCTTTTAGGTTAGCGTACAGAACATCTTGGATTCATATTCGGCAAAGCAGATACGACTATGGGAACCTGCACTGGGGGCATCTGACACCCTGGCTGACATTTTATTTTTTTAAGTTTTGCCTCTTGTGCTTAGTTTGAGAAGGGTGGTTTTCATTTGCGCCTCATGTTTTCCCAATTAAGAGTTACAAAACACCCATTAAAATTGTAACAAAGTATAAGAAGTTCAGCCAAGTCCAGCTGACTGAAACTTTTTGTACCAATGCTGCCACATACAGATGTTGCCACATACACAGAAAAATGCCGTTGAATTAATTTTGATGGCCCTGGAAATGCTTTTCTCAATTGCCCTTATGAAATAAGTTGTTGTCATGTCAGGTTACTTTGCCCTGAAATGACCTGCTGTCAGGCAGGAGAGGTACAATGTGCTGTATTCAGGATTTCAGTGCTCACCTTTGGTCCAACACTTATGAGATGCAAATCTTGAAATTGTTGAAGAGAAATCTTGGTTTTCGGATTATCAGACTAGATTTAACTTCTCAGTCTAACCCATGGAAATCCAAGAAGGAAAAAGCTCAAGGTGCAAATATCATTAAAAACCTCTTTGGATCTCTTAGCACTTTGTAGGCAGGCTCTGGGGTTTTTTTTCCTCCCCTCTGTTAAAGGTTGCTTAAAAATAGTAAGAAACTGACAGTTAAAGCGGTCAGACATTCTGAGGCACAGAGAAAAAGGTGCATAAACCCCTTTATATTGAGATAAGACTGTGCCCCAAATAATTCAGAAGTTAATTCCCTGCACGCTAACAGGCTAAGAAAAAAATGTGGTTTTTTTTTAATTTCTCAAACAAACAAAAAACCACACACAAAAAAGGAGGGTTAACACTAGCAAGAATATAAAACACCACCAGAGGTAACATCTCAAAGAGGTATAACATACGTATCCAGATATTGAAACAGCCACTGCAGGACTTGTAATAAAATATAGTCAGACATCATTCAGGACCATCCTTTTCACCAGAGGTACAGTATTTGCAGCATAAGTGGTCCTACAAGGATCCACAGCCTTTCAATTGTTTCCTGTGCTGCTCCAGATTTATTCTAATAAGTGTAACTATGTCATAAATATCCATTTCACTCCCAAGCCCCACTTTTCTCCTAACAGCAGTATATTCTGCATTGCAGATGGAAAAACATTTCCAAAACCTTATTCGTAGCTTGTAATTCCGTGACATTAGCATCATTGGAAATCCAGGAGGAGCCTACCTCCCCGTTACATTTTTCATTTGCCATCAGAAGTCTTTTACTGAACAAAGACTACGACAACAATTCACAACGATTTAGTTTAAAAGTGAAATGTAGGAACAAGTAAGAACAGACAGTGACACCGGACCGAACAATCTCCAGAGTGCATTTAGAGAGTAACACAGTTTCAGCTCCTGATGAGCGTCAAGAATTCTTCACGGGTCTTTGGATCTTCCCGGAATACCCCCAACATTGTGCTGGTTACTGTTTTACTGTTCATTTTCTGTACCCCACGCATTACCATACACATATGCCTAGAAGAAAAGAGAGGGGAGTCAATAAATCAGGCATAGTCAAAAGAAAGAAGCAATCCCACAGAGAGAGAAGGTTCTTACACGGTCACATTAAATTCTGGGGAAGTGATAAAACCTCCATACCCAGAATGGACATCTGTCAGTAGTACCTCTGCTGCCCTCTACAGAAAAGGGTCAAATTCCCAGCCCCCTGCCTTCTCTCCTCTGATCCTAGGAAAATCCCACCTTTCCAAGGTGCATTCTGATCACGGGAACATGCCTGTTGCTAGTCCCAGCTTTGCTCTACTTCAGGAAGTAGAAGGTGCGCAGAGGTAGAGCGCGGACCCAGTGCAGCAGGGACAGCTGACCACACTGCCATCTCTGCGGTGGATAAGGCAGCCCCCCGCTCCCCAAACAGCTCCAACCCACCAGGCCATTCCGCTGAACGGGCAAGGATCGCTCCTGCCTTCGCTCTGCCTCGTCAACCAGCATGGCACACCGCTACCGCAGCCAAAGAGGCAACACACAACAGCTCTGCAGCACGCAGCCGGAATCACCCGCAGCCGGAATCACCCGCAGCCCGTACGCTACCACGGAACGGCTCAGAGTAACTTACGTAGCTTCAATAACCACTCCAACTCCAGCGGGCTGTAAGGCTTCTGTGATGGCTATTGCAATTTGTTTGGTAAGGCGTTCCTGGACTGAAAGAACAACGGGGAGTTCAGACGCAGTGTTAAATCTGACCAGCATCCACCCACTGCCACTATCCTGGTAGCAACACCGCATCCTCACTTCCAAGTGTGCCTGTTCCCCACCACCTACCCACGCAAATACTGCTCTTCCTAAATAAATTTTGTTAGTACCGAGTCCTATCTCACGTTTTGTATCCTGGAACAGACCTTCTATTTGCTTGTTTATATTGGGAGTCATTTTGCATTGCACCTTTGCAGGAATTGCATTACCATGATTTGTTATAATGGCTCTTACGTTTCCTATTATACAGTTAGATTTTCTTGCTTCTCTATTTTCTTTCAGTTTTTATGTATTTGTTCACTGGCTTTACTGCTGCACTATTCATTCCCTACAAACAATCCCTCTTTTTAAGGAAAGGAAATGGAGATTAAAAAAAGAAAGAATGAGCAAATTATGAGTCTATTGTCCTGCAAAGCTTTGCTTCCTGCAGCTCTAGCACCCTCTATTCACCAGTCTGACACCTAATGGTCACTAAGACTTCTGTCACCAAGAACAGGCCAAATTTAACTGCAGCACAATGAGAGCGGGCTGAGCCCAACCCAAGGCCTTGGCTCCTGCAGCTTCCTCCATTTCTCAGGGGCAGCAGGCAGGCAGCCTCACTTCATCTCTTCAGACAAGAATTCTTGAAGGCATCTCTCAAATTATCTGTAGGAGTGTTCATCTCCAGCAGCATCCAACTAGTTTAGTTATTCCTGGCAGCTGTATCTTGTAGCACATTTATCCTCTGAATCAGTTACTGCCTACATCTATTTTCATAGGCAGATCTTACTCCTCACGGGAAGCACGAGAGCTAAGATGACAGATGAGAAGAACACAAGAACACTCTTCAAGAACACAGCGGTTGTCCTCACACTAAAATTTGCACAGCTATAGTCCACCTACAATTACCAGTACCCTGAGCTGGCTAGGAAAGGGCTGCACGCAACAAAACCAAAAATTCATCTGGTTACCTTGTAATCTTCTACTGTATATTTCCACGATCCTAATGGAGAAAGCAAAAAGACAATGTTACATTAGTCCTACCTAACCATCGTCTCATCTTCACAGTTAACGACACTATCAAACAAGACCGCTGTACGGATCCACGTCCTTCCTGGAAGCCTACACAACACCGTGCTGCTGCTCAGCCCCTGGCTGGCTCTGCTCAAGGGCTCCCCTTCGCACATCACTCTGTTCAGTGACAGGTTCCCCCCACCTGCCGCCCCAGAGACTATTCCAGGGGCAAAGCTGTCGCTTCTCCTTAGAGCCGCTTCTGTTGGCCGTTACTTTTGAATTACTTGTACCTGTAATTCGAAAGTATTGAATTACCCACCTGCATCACACAGTTGCAAGGGAATCCATGCCCAAAGACTCCCTGAAAGCTAATCCTTGAACTGAAGTCAGACTACCTCCTTTTGCTTCAATCTAAACCAAATGCTGGTTTAAGGACAGTTCAGATATTGGGATTCCCAGAAGGCTGCTGAAATTAAGCAGGAGATGTTTTGGATTCTTGCATTTAACCGCAGATTTAACTAAGAACAATGAGACAGAACTGTTTTTATTTAAAACAGATAGTCTCCACCCATATATCACCCCATCCTTCACATTTCAGTGCAGGGATCACCTTAGTTGCTCCTCTCGAACATGACTTGAGATTTCAGCCATTTGTGGGGCAATGCAAGTGATACTACCATCATTTATAAGCTCAGTACTATAACCCACACATTTAAGAAAAATCTTAACTGCTCTGTAACTCAATGGGTTATTCACGCCAACCTCAAATGCTTTATTACACATCAAGTGGCCACGTAAAGAAGTTGCTATAGAAAGCCTCAATACCCATCTGGTCAGGCTAGACAAAAAACAGACACTGGCTGGCAGCCTGGGGCATTAGTTACAAGAAACATTTCTGACAATGAGACTTGCCTGATGTTTTGGAGAGAGAATTATATGCAGAAACTCCCCTCCAGAAATGAAATGGTTGTGTTATAGCTATTCTAAACAAAGCAACGTAATATTTAAATACATGGATAGGAAACAAGCTGATGGTGAGATATTTTTACGCTATTTTTACGCTGTTATTGCATATAAGAAGCCCTATAAGCATGTTGATGTAAAAACAGTTATTTGCATTAGCATTTTCAAGCCTGAGGCTCAAATCCAAAGAAAGTTGTTTGTTTACTGAATACAGGTCATCCCCAACTGCAGAAACTCACCACATCAGACTAATCCTATTATGAAAGATTAGGCCTACAGCACCAACAGCCTCACAAATCTTTGTTTGAACACTGGTTGCATTATATAGGGCACGAAAGGGAAGCACTATTTGGCCCACCAGTCTCTTCACGGTAAGCGCTCAAAAGCGAGCGAGGACTGAGAACACTTTGTTATACAAGAATCTAATCTTTTCATTATCGCAGTGTATGGGAGTTTTACCCTAACTGGAAAAAAGAGACAAGATTTAACCTTTCAAGCACAGCGCAGGAAGCCTTGCACATATTCATGCATGTTTCTACACTGAGAATAAGCAGTAGGAAAATTGTACACTTCTAGCACTGTGTTGCCACTTGCATTAAAAATCAAAGACAGTTTTGAGCTCCTTTTTACATCTGCAATTCACAGGTAACTGAAGACCAGAGCAAGCACAAATCAGCTGCTGTGTATTTCAAATGTGATCCTTAATCCTGCATTCAGGCCCTGCAGAAATGAAACCAAGTGCTAAAGACAGTCTCTTCAGGAAGGATATTTGCCTTCAGAAATCCAACTCAAAAAAAAAAACCCCCTCACCACTTCAAAAGATCCAGCCACACGAACGCCAGCCAACACACAACGCAAGCCATGAACTGCCACACAGACATCCCCAAGCGTAAGCAGCTACAGAAGGCAAAATCTTTTGCCCAGCAACTGCAGCATGCTCAGCTCAGAACCTCATCCTACAGTTTCAGCACGGAGGAACATCCACAGGAAACATATATGAAAAAATTTAAATGTTGAACTGCCTGTTTCTGCCATTTAATCAGAGCAAAAGCCACTCCTGTAAGCACTGCTAGAAGACATGAAGATGGCCTCCCTGTAATATGAGTTACATTAGCAAAGATGTGACCCCCAAGGGCCCTTCCACTTCCAAACCGAATTCACTGTTGCGCAAGCAAAGCACAGAGCAGAGCCGACTGGCTGTAAAGCATCTTAGTGTCATACCCTACACATTTCTTACCCGCTAAGAAAACCCAGCAGGCATGCAGATTTACAAGGCTAATTCTCATTACCATTACTGGAACTACAGCAAGATTAACAGACATTATCAGGGAAAGTCTAAGCAAAACCTATGTGGCCCTTCTGAACTACAGCCAATTTTTCAGATTTGTTGCTCAAAAGAGACCCTTCCACTCCGGTCCTCAGTAATCTGCTTATTGAAGGGATCTACCATCCACTTCCTCACCAGAAGGTGTTATCACTTGATAACAAGACTCAGTGCAACAAATGATTCAAGGGCACTTGCTGAGGAAAAAGCTATTTTACATAACAAATGGATTTCTTAAGTGTGTAACTGCTTTGTTTCTTAGGCTGAACCTTATCTATAAAATTTACCCCAGGGCTCTCTCAGCAGGTCTCAAGTGAAAGAAAGAAATGCCAAATTTATCTGAAGAGTCAGCTAACAGATGAAAGCTTTAGATTCAATTTCTATCCATAGGACTGTGTTCATTTACAGTTTGGAAGTTTTGGATTTTTGTTCTTATCAGTCAATATACACACAAGTAGTAAATAGCTAGAGATCTCCACTGGTTCTTCTGGCCTGCCTTAGAACGTGACCAAATTCTCTGTCGCTCTTGCTTCTGTGCCCCCCGCAGACGCCAAGGCTTTGGATGAACGTAGAAAAGTGTGATGTGAATTAACAGAGCACTCTAAGATTTATCTGTCCTCTCCACAGAAAACATAATGCTGAGGATTGGTCTAAATCCAAATCCAGGCCTCAAAGTGGGCTGAGCTTTAGAGGGGGGCCAGATTAGAAAGATTAGCACAGTTAGCACAGCTTGGAATCCTTTTTACAAATTAGCATCACTTTCATTCCATTAACACTTACCTAGCAAGCTTGCTGAGGCCAAGTACTTGTTTGTTAGGAAGATAGCCAATATGTACCTAGACAGAGGAGAACAAGCCATTAACAGAATCAAAACCACACTTCCAAATGCATATGAAACTCATGCATAGAGAATGAGATGTGCATTTGCCCCAGAACTAACTCTGGAACAGTCCAGAAGTCCTAGCATGTGGGAGGAACATGCCACCATGCAAGCCTGAAACACTGTGGAGCTAACGGAGGCTGCAAATGCCTGGTGAGGTCAGTGTCCTGGTGAAGAACAGGTAAGTTTTCTGAGGGGGGAGAAAAGCCACAGCTCTTCAAGAGTCAAGGCTTATGTTCCAAGTCTCAGGAATGCTACAGAGTTCTACTGCATTTGGGTACAAAAAGCAGTCTATTACTCAGCACAGCGCTGTTCATCTAAAATAAACACGCTTTTCTCTCAAGACCTAAAATGGATTTAGGGAGCCGGCGGGAGAGGGACTGTACTTCACTTCCAGTGAAAGTTCTGATGGCAAGAAATACTTAGCCACCAAAATCAGGCTGCCCTTCCTGATTTTTTTTTCCTGCTTCAGTAGTACCATAGATCACTGCATGACTAAGTCAACTTCCATCCTGCTTGAATATGGATTTGCTGAACATTCATACTGAACACGTAGTTGCACTAAGTTGGAATAAGTTCTTGAGAAGAAAAGTGCTCAGATACGAAGGTAGGGGGAAAGCCATTTAGCTTCTTGTTTTTAGAAAGCAACGCAGGCTATGAATTCCAGTGGGTTTACAGTTGTAACAAATTATAAGCCACCATTTGTGTCACTGTACCAGAGACTTGAAAAATTAGCCAAGATACAGTAGGGGAGTGTCAGTGTAGGATTCTGTCTCAGCACTTAGCCTAGAGGCCCCATCTCAGAATCCTGTATTGCTGTACCTGCAATTAGAGGTACCACAGTGCACCTAATTACCTGGCTAACTTGCTCATTCCTATCACTTCTGTTGGGTAATCAACCCACTGACACCTGAAAAGACATGAAACATTTCAGATAAAGTAAGAGACATAACTTAGAAATAAGCGTTGAATCCTGTTCCCCGTAGAGTGAATTTAATTTTTGTGCATTTAATTTCATTTAAGGTAGAACTGCAAATACAAGACCTGCTGGTCAGTATTTGCAGCCTGTTTGATGTACCCAACAGGAGAACGGTTAGTCTGAGAATATTTAGAGGCATACCAAGTCATTTAGCAGACCGTTATACGAGCAGGCCCAATTCGGTGTTTGCGAGGAGATTTCTCCAAACCACACAGGCTAAACAGCTAGATGTAAAAAGAACGCATATATTGCCACAGGAGTAACGAAGACAATATACACAGTACGTGTCACCAAGAAGAACAGGCAAAATAGAAAGCTTGCACAGAAAAAGAAGTTACCTTGTTTTCCAGTATAAAATACTAGCAGTAAGAAAAGAAAGCAGATGAAATTGAGTTGACTCAGCTAAATAAATGGCTGGTTTCTGTTTGGGTATTTTATTTTTGGGAGACTGTTCACTTGGAACACATGTGGTACTGATGGAATTTTACAGACAACACTCTGGCCTGTGAGTGCTTTATGGTAGAACAGATGGATCAGAATAAGCTCCATCCTGCTGTGCTGATACAGGAGTGAAGGGGCCGAGATGTGCAGAAGGGACTATCCACTCTGAACTCTTCACCAAGTTTACAGCGGTTAACTCGAGAATTTTTATGTTATTTTTAAAGTTGTTGGCATCACAATTTCAACACCATCTGAAACACCAGCCCCTTTCATGGGAGTCCCAACCTAAGCAGCCTCCTGCCAGTCAGTTTTGAGCACCCCCTCCCTGACCGGGCTTGCTTATTTAAGACAGGGCTGCTAATGAGAGGTTTGTTCCACTCACGGGGGGTTCCCCGAGATGAATGTGCGCTACATAGCTCTGAGCCAGAAGCTAAATCCGTGACAGAGCCAGCGTGCACGGTGAGCCGGTTTAATATCAAGATGTCTGCCCTCAAGGCTTGCTGCTGCTTCACGAAGAAGAGCTTTGATATGAAATGTCAGAAACCATTAGATTACTTAGACTAGGAAAGGTTGAGCATTATGTTTTAGGAGCTTAAATCCAAATAAAACCTCACATTAAGGAGGTCTTCCTTATTTGTATTCTGCAGATTAACTCCTAGAATCATAGCCGTAAGCAGTAAATACTTATAGCTTTAGAAGCTTTGTAGTTACAGCTACAAAGTCTTTTACATGTACTTTAGGTCTTTTATCGTGTATTCCCACATTTGTTTTGTGAGGAAGAGTTACCTTTCCAACAAATGGAACGAGGTGATGCTCACACAATGAGAACATGTCTATGTCCTTCACAATTACCATCTCATCATGATCTTCATCAAAGATGGCGTCATTCAGAACATCTGAAATTAAACATTCGCATTAAAAAAAAAAATAAATGCACAAGCATGGAAGGTTCTTCCAGCCAGTATCTGAGAAAGCTTGTAGCAAGAGCACAGCTCGCTCAGAACTACAGAGTTTAGGGTTAAGATACAGCAGGCAATTAAGGAGTAACATCACAGGTACGCTTTGTATCGCATACGATCACGCAACGGCCACGGTGCTACGTCAGACTACCTACGTGCTACACCAGAAGTCAGCCTATAGCATTTTATTTAAATAACAGTTTGAGCCCAGGTTGGAACGAGTCTAGTCTTTGCAGAATTACTGACATCTTAAAAGCAATTAAGACTACAGCTGATAAAGGCAGTGCTGAGGAGGAGAGCACACCTCAAAGCGGGCTTCCATTAGCGCTTCCACATACCACAAGCAAAGCTGAGCCTCAGGTTTGACAAAAGCTAAGCCATCACAGCGGTTTCTTCAAACACTTCAAACACCAGCATCACTACCTTCAAGGAGGCCTTGTTGGCAAATAAGACATTCTTATTTCACCCTGAAGCACGCCAGCCAGCAGCTGTTTAGGCATACACAAAAGTCGAAGAGACAGATCTGTATTCACAGATCGGGGGAGAGATTTGCTGTCCTGAACTGAAGCACGCATATGTATACTCCGGCCTAATTCTGCACCTCGGAGTTAACAGAGAATTGAGGTGGAGAAACCACAAAGATAGAAGAAAGAAGAGACAGCTCAGTAAGAAAAGGAACACAGAACGTGACACTTTGCTAGTCTCAGAGCTCAGCAGAACAGATCCTCAGTTGTTTTTCCAGATTTAGCAGTCCCCTGACACGTCCTCAAGCAATCCTGATACAGGTTACAGCAGATCACTATGGTCTCCACAAAGACTGCAGGCAGCTGGACCATGCTTGGAGAGGTGAAAAGTAGAACAGCCTTTTGAAGGATGAGAGAGAAGAGCTGTATAGAAGAGAGAGACATGAGAGAGCGTGAATAGCAAGACAGAGCTAGCTGTACAGAAGAGCTGATAATCAGAACAAGGAACTCCAAACGTGTTCCCTTGAAGCCACACTGACTGCTTGGAGTTACTTCCAGGAACCATGGCCAGAAGGGGAACCAGGGTGCTCAGGGACTGCCCTGCCTCATCCGCGGTGGAGCTCAGCACCTGCAGCCTTACACAAATCTAATAGCTGTGTCTGCTCTACTTGCCTTTATGCCTTCCCCTGACATGCACGTACACCTAATGGCCACCATCTGCTGTCGATAACGTATCATCATCATGGAGCATTTTAATTTCCTGCTTGCTATCAGCACTACACAGGTAACCCTGGAAACTGTGCGCAAGATGTTCTGCCTGCGACGCACATTCTTTCCCGAGAAGGGCTGGCAACCTGCAAGACAGCGAGGCTGAACCCCAGAAGGCTTTTGATCAGGTCAGAGAGCAGGAGTAGGGGGCACAAAAAAGGCCAGGAAACTACTATGTAAAGGTACATAATTTTGGTCTTCAAATTTCAAGAGTCTAGTTTACTCCAAATACTGCTGGAGAGGATTTTGATTACATGGGGAGCACCATGCAGTTGCGTAACTACGAATTCAGCCAGGAATAGCCAGAATCAGAAACAAAGCAGGCTCAGCGGAGAGGGAAGGGAAGACAGAGCAGCCCTCTGGGTTCTTAGTTCCCTCCCGCAGCACTCTGCAGACGTGCCACTTCTACAGCAGAAAGGCACACAGTGGTTTCACAAAACCTGCTACTATGCCCAGCATTATTAAACCAAAATCCAAACGGATCCGCGAAGCATCTCCAGAGTGACTGCTGCTGTTATCAGACCACCAGCTTGGCTCATACCAGCCTTGCCAGGAGCGTATCAGAGCCCGATGTTAGATATGGATTTACGTCAGCACACTCGCAAAGCAGACTGTTCAGAACAATCAAAAAGGGCCGTGTTCTCATTAAGAGTCATGGTAACGTGTGACACGGCATAAGGCCAAAGCTACAACAGAAGGTACTTCAGCCGTGAAGTCTCATATATATGCATATACACACTTATTCATGTATAAAATTCTAGTTTTTACTTTCATTATAAATAATCCAGCCACCAAGCCAGGAAACATAAAATTGCTACTCTACCCTTAACTGGTTTAGTGGTGGGCTTGGTAATGTTACATTAATGGTTGGACTGGATGATCGTAAAGGTCTTTTCCAACCTAAACAATTCTATGATTCTATGAAAATATATATTAATAGATTGTTAAAAACTTTATCTAAGGAACCTAACTCTATTACTGGAATCCTGAAGTGCCACATTGCATCATGGAGACAGCTGTTAGCCCCATTTTAAAGCTAGGGGGAAAAAGAAGGTTAAGTGACCTGTGAAGTACCACACAAGCAACTTCAGGACAAAATGCATCCTTCTTGTGGCTAAAGCAATCAAACAGAAACACAAAGGTCATCCATCCTTCTTGCCTATCCCCTCTTAGGCTACAGCCCAGAGTCACAGCGCTTTGGGCAATGCCCCGCTCTCAGTCAAGGGGCATGTAAGCAAACAGATCCGTGCATCAAGAATATAACCACAGAGCTGTGGGATGCTTCGCGCTTCTCATTTATAAAGGTCTTGCCAATTTTGCACCTGAGATTTATTTAATATTAGCAGCAAGTTGCAGCCAGATCACAAACGATACCTGCTCAGCTGCATACCCTCTGCAGTTGTGCCTGCAGCACGGTGTGCCGATTTTAAATCAGCAGCAGTTATTCCTTGGGAAGGAGGGTCAAAGCCCATAAAGGAAGAAAGAAGCAAGCTTAGCTTTAGCCCCTCCGATAACCTCTTCACAACTGCCAGATGATACAGGGCCACGAGGTAAAACAAAGTGTGAGGCGGAAGGCCACTACCTGAGTAAATGAGTAAAAATTTACCCGAGTAAAAATGGCCACGGTGTTAAGAGCACGCCCCGGTCACCCCTATCCTGCTCCAGTCCCTCCTGCTCGCACTTCACAAGCCTGTTCCCCTGAAAATAACAAGCATAGCTTGAAGCCTGCCTACTCCTGTACCTTCCCCTTCAGAAATCCAAGCCTTGTGTTGACAAAAGAAGAGTTAGGCAAGAGTAGCTGTGACAAGATGCTGTGCTACGTCCCACTGCAGCACTTGTTTTCAGTAATTACACAGGAGAGACTTGTTTGGCAGCGACTCGAACGCTTTGTGCAGGGAGGCAATACCATTTTACCTAACTTTGGTTTTGTTTTTTTTTTTTTTGTCGTTCCATTTGCAACAGCATCAAACAGGGCCCCGACAAGCTCAGCCTGCATCCTGCAGCACATGTTCTGGAGAACTTAACAGAGCTGAAAGGACAGAAGGGGAAACGGGGCCTCAGATTAACCAGGGAGGAAGCAAAGCAGGGGACAAATTTATGCCTCTTCTCCCATTCTTTCATTCTACTTACTAGGGCACACTGCCTGCTTCACTCACTTGATTTTGGTTTCCTCATCTGGAGGCCCCAAAACATTTACTCTTGCCACTCAGGGCAAGATCTAGAAGTCGTGCTGTCCCTCCCCAGGCCTGTCCCAGTTCACAGAGAGCAATGTGGCTGTCACACTGGCTGTGTCTGTCGGCTCTAAAATACCCACCTGCCCTTCCAATGCAACTGCGTCTTTTCCATCCCTTCTTTCTGCAGCACCAGGATCTTCAAAGCACAATCGTTGAAGTCAACAGGGCTTTTAGAGGGAAGGAGAGCTAGAATTAAATATTGCTAGCTTGGTTTCCTGACAAACCAAGGCACCTGCAGCTCAGATGGGCTCCTCCTCAACAGGCTACTTCTCAATACGAAAAGGAAATTCTTCCTCTCAAATGAAGCAACACTTTTACTCCCTCCAAGTACCACCTACGTAATCATCCACATCAGTAGGATAGGACTAGCATCTCCTCTGCCAGCAAGGAGATGGGCATGTTCATACATCGTCCCTTGGCCTCTCGGAGCCATACCTCCCCTCACTCTGCTTTTATTAGTCACAGTTGTGCTCAAGTGCTGCCACCAAGCCCTGTCGATAAGCCAAAAGAGACTGCAAATAACACCACTTCCATTCTCCACCACCCCAGAAGAGCTAAGGGAATTTACTGCTTAAGTCCTTAAGCCTAGACACATCATATTAATGAAAAGCTAAGATTCGAATCAAAATATATGGCTGAGAGGAGGGAAACAAGAACAAACATTAGATGTACAATCGGGGCACTCTCTAGATTATTCCAGCTGATTTTTTCCTTCAGCCCGGAGTTCCAAGTCCTGTTGCAGAAACTTTAGTGGGCTGTTAAAACTGAACAGACACCTCTGCTGCAAGTTAACTCCTGAAACAGAGCAGAATTAATTTTCCCTTTTATCTTCAAAAAAGAGTTGATAAAAGCAAAAAAAAAAAAAATCAGAATTACATGAAGACCGGATGAGAAACACCTTTCAGGATTTTGCGTCAGAGCTAAGCAAAAAGACCTGTTGCTATAGAAACTATTTGCATGGCTTTAATGTGACACAGGAAAGCAAAAGCACCTCTGGCAAGCAAAGAAGCTAGAGCCCACCCAGCAGCTGGCTCAGTAGGTGACGGCAATGAAGGATGGCAGCACGCTGCAGAGCAGCACTGCCTCAGCTTCGCAGCGCTTTCAGATGTCCCATTTTTACTATGCCTGGGAGACAGAAGACTGAAGTGATGCAGGTTGTTCTCACTGTCAAAGTACTTCTCCACGGTATTAAGCTGCCCCACTGCTCCACTTTAGAGGAGTCTGACTGAGGATCGTTCAGTGTCAAGATGATGAAGGCAGTCTCAGAGATTCTCCGACACTCTTCCTTGAGCTCATCCATCCTGGCAGAGACATAAGGCACAAGGTTCTCCCGACAGCCATCACTCAGCTCCAGACTGTTCTCACTGACAGCCCCTACGCTCTTCATGGTGACCCATAAGTCACAGCAGGCAGCTGAGGCCATCACAGGAATGAGTTCAGGCCAAGGGATGCAGATGTCCTACGAGGGCTGTGGGGCAAGTCACACCACACCAATGCCATTAGCTTGAACAAACTAGAGTACAGGCTGAGGTCAGGTACCCTCTGCTCTCCCAGGAACAGAGTTGCACCAAAAGCAATGGCAGGGGACCTTGCATGAACTAGGAACACATCACAGTTTGGAGGATACTCCAGAACAGCAGTGCCGTGAGCTAGAGACCAAAGGCTAACCATTCCTTGGATAAGGAATTGGCTGGATGGTCGCATCCAGAGGGTCACGGTCAATGGCTCGATGTCCACATGGAGACCGGTGACAAGT